GGTCTGTTTTCATGTAATTGATCAATCAAATCCCATCGAATTTAATCTCTAATGAGATTAAAATCCAACAAATAGTTTAAATACGTAATTCAGTCCAACTTCTAGAGCATTAGAAAATCCTTGCAAACCTAGAAATGGATAAAAAAAAGTGTTTTTTATATATAGTGTTATCTATTTCTTTTCATTGTTTGGACAAAAAACATCCTTAAATGTATAAACATCATAGAATTATCATTAAGGGTTCTCCATTTCCTTTGCGCGACCATCCCAACTACTGGATCAAAGTAGTTTGGTTCGTCAAGAATTATCATTTTCGTGGCATGGTTTGTCAAGATACACAAGCATCACAAAGTAGCTTGCTTTGATTTTTTTTTTTTTCTCAAAACAAAAATTTTGATGCATCATTCTGGTTATTGCATATTTATATTTTCTCGTTTTAGTTTTATACATCTATCAAGCCAAGTGTAAGCTCACATGGACCTCCTTATCTTTCCATTTATTGCACATATGGTTATTTATTTTTAAATTAAATTATTAAAAATATAAGAAATCACAAGAAACCCTTCTAGGTCTTAAATTTTTATATTAAAATCATTATTATCCTCTTTGATAACTGTGTATGTTTGTGTTTGTAGGGATGTAACTAAAGTGGGCTCAGGTTGAGATTTTGTTAAATTTTTAATCGATCAGGCTTGAAGGCCTAAGACCAAAGCAACGTAAAATGCTAACTTGGGCCAACCTAAGCTGCATCCCTCGTGTATTCGTAACATCTCCCCTCCTCCCATGAAACCCCTTCTTTCTTTTTTGAATTTATTAATTGAGCAAGGTGTACATTAGATGAGTTGGGTCAAGTTAAAGGCCAACCCAAGACTAACCCTAACTTGAGTCCAAATTAATGTCAAAACCCAAATTTTCCAACCCAAAACTAACCACTTGGGCACACAAAGAGAAAACTCAAGTTCCGAAAACTTTATTTTGTTCAAAGACAAAAGCCTCATTACCCATTTCCTTCTAACAAATTAATAAAGTGATTCATTGGATTTGCGTTCTGACTATTGAGGCTAAAATTGTGTCCCAAATAAGGTTTAAATACCGGCATTGTATATCATATGGGTAAGCTTGGAAATGGATATATGTCATGATAGAAGTTGGATGTGCATGGTTTTGATATATATACACACTTGGATACATTAGAGAAACTTCTATAACTAATAATGACACTAATTCTAAAGTTGAAATAAGGTATAAATATATAATAAATGTATACATCAATAGTTTATATGAAAAAACAGTACCGGGAGTCCTATACAATCACATAATAACTTTATAAATTGTTACTTATTTATTAAAGATCTTTTATAAATAGTAATTTTTTGTTTCTTCAAATAATCAATGTGTTTTATTTACTTGTTTATCATGGATTGAGTTATTAATTAATAACTTACAGAAATGAATATTTTTAGTTTAAAAATATATAAGATCCATAATAATTTATAATATACATATAATATGTAATTAGCGATTTTCAATTATTAGATACAACTACTAATATAATTATTTACATCTTGTTTTTTTATGAAAATTGTCAAAAAGTAAGCAAATATTAATTTTTACATATAATTTTTTGTTGGATCAATGGGTTTGACAAATCATTGATAGAAATCGTGTATGTTATATCAAATAAATTATACTAATAATTTTTGGAATTTTCTATTTTTTGGTGAAAACCAATAAATCTACTAATAGATGCCTTAATATCAAAAAATCTAACCACCAATCACCATATTTTTGCAATTAAAACACCAAAAATACATAAATCCATTGAACAATAATGATTAAATGAAACTTTATATCCTCCTCCTCTTGGTATTACAGACTAGGAGTCTTGAGACTTTAAGGTGGGTGTGAGGACTAAATTTTGAATTTACATATGTGTCCCACAAGCACATTTGAGCATGCATTGGAAACATCTCTTGTACTTGTCATTGGGAGATGTGTCCAATACACGGTTTAGATGTGCTGTGGAGTGCCAATATAATCTCCCAAATTTGTGAGGAAACCAGATCTCTTTCACCATCAGCTGTGGGAGTTGACTAATTGTGGTGGGTTTGAGGACCAATGCACAGCTACAAGCTGCAAGGGCTGTGAGGTGTGAGGACCAATTTAGTGAGCAGGAAATCAGATCTCTTTCACCCACACCATCAACCAAATATGGTGTTCTAACTTTGTTGGCAAGCATCCAATTTGCCAATCTATTGAGAATTACTTATGTTGTGATTAATTGGAGGTGATGCTGAACCTCTCGTGAAACGCTGGTTGGAGTTTGTTGCCAATTTACCTTGTTATCCGTTGCAAGATGCCGATCAGCTGGTTGATAACATCTTTTAATTGGTCATAGTGGAGATTTGGAATGGAATTCCGCCTGCACCTCGGTTGAATGATGGATTACCCCTGTTGTATAATCCTTCAAAAATAAATTAATAAAAAAACATTTAGTTGTATTGTCATAATGACCTAGTCCTAAACCTGCTGATTTCCTCCTCCATACTTTGAATTTGGATGTAATCATGTAACTAAGGTTGATTTAGTGGGTGGTGTGCTATAGGCTCAGTTTGGATGTAACCGAGCCATATGGACATAACATTTGTATTTTATTTAGGTTGTGCATAAAGCAAGGTTTTCGAACCGTCGTTAATTCAGACGGTTGAATCGTTCAGCCCAGAAATCATTCAGGCAATCGGTTATGTTTTACCCCAAACCTAATTCCTGGCCAAAAACAATTGAATTGGTCAACGACCTGTTATGGGCGGTTGAACCGTTAACCCGTTCAACGGTTTTGCCTGTTTATTTTTAATAATTTTTATTGTCATAATGAGCCGTCCATTTAAATCAGATGGTTGAATTGTGGACCCGGAAACCGGTAGCCATAATGATTTTGTTTCCAGGTTGTTTTTTTAAACCATGGCACAAAATGCAATACAAGATTTATTTCTTGCTTTTTTAATATACATAAACATCACATAGATTAGGTGTCACATGAACAAAAATAGCTTTTAGCGTAGGAAACATAAAGCTCAGATTTGAAATAGTACAAATACAAATATGTATAGTACAGCTATATACAAAATACAATGTTTTTGTACACTACAAGTTTGTATTTATATTCCTTCCAAACTGAGCCTTCCTCTAAGGTTATGTTTGATTTAAAGGAAAAAGTAGGGAAAGGAAGGAAAATGCAAGAAAACCTTTACAAACCTTGTATAGGTTTCCCTGCCTTTCCCTACTCTTTCCTTCAAACCAAAAACTTAAAAGTGAGTTTCACATAATTTAAGACAAGAGGCAATACAAAACATCTATACATGATTGGACCAATCAAATAAGATTATGGGTTGGTAAAATTTAATGTCCTAAATTGTGCCAGCATGGCATAGAAACAAGCATGAACATAAGGATCCCAAAGGTGCCCTTAGTTGAATGATTGGAAACAAAGCTTTTATCACGGTTGCAATCTGTGACTAAACATGCAATATTCCATGGGGGTTGGGACTTTGCCAATAGAAGTTTTCTGGATAGGGGTGGATTTGAGCTGAGCCGAGCCGAGTGAATAGCTAGTTATTTGAGCTCAGCTCGCCAAGATAGTACGAGGCTCGAGCTCGGCTCAAGTCAAAAGCTCATAAGATTGAGCTCGGTTCGGCTCAAAATCGACTTGAGAAAAATATTTTATAAAAATAAAAAATATATAATATTTTTATTTGATATTTAAAAAATTAAGAATCATAATAATTAGTTATTATTATATATAAAAAAATGTTATATATTATTTTCTATAATTTTCTATTATTATTATTATTATTATTATTATATGTACATAAACATGTATGTAACTATTTGAGATCGGTTCAAAACTCGGTTGAAATTGAGCCAAGCTGAGCTCAAATAGCTCGTAAAGAGCTCAGCTTGTGGCCACCCCTATTTATGGACAATGGGACTCGAGCTGAATAGCAAATAGACCTAGCTATTTGGCAAATATTGGTGCATGCAAGATGCTTGTAGCTTCAGCCTCCTTTGACGACATCAAAGGTAATCTAATTGCTCTTCCATAAGCAAAATGACCCTCATAGTCATGAATCACAAAACCTATGCGCCATATAGGAATGACAATGGGATAGGGTGAGGCCGGGTTTTGCATGCCCTGTTTCCAACTTTAAACCCGAATTCAAATGCTTTGTCCTATTTTTGCCCTGAGGGTTAGAAATCTTAATCCTATCTCTATCCCCACAAGAAATGGGAATCCCCGAATTTATCCCAATCATTCATACTTGCATACTTGCAAATTTATTTATTTTGAAAATTATTTAGAATTATGTAAATATAATATAATATTAACAGCTATATATTATGTGATATTATATGATATAATATTAACAGCTATATAGGGGTCGGAATTGAGGTAGGGAGGGCAAATGCCATTCCAGTCCTATCCCTGATCTCCAAAGTTTCATATTTCCCTGGAATCCACCCCGACCGAAGCTGGGTGGGGCTGGAATGGATCAAAATTTCTATCTCTAATTACATGTTAGGTTCAGTTTGGAAGGAGTATAAATATAAATATATAGAGTGCACAACTTTATATTTTGTATTATTTTTTATGTATTTGTACTATATATATTTGTATTTGTATTCTTTTAAAACTGAGTCTTAATAGTATAACTGTTAAATATATTGAGCTATAGTCGATTAATAATTTGGTCAATTTTGGTTCAATATTACAGACCATCTGCCAATCTGATTTTGCACATTTATTTATTGGTTCAGGGTTGGATGTACTCCGACCCGAACCAGACCCTAGCCCTGGCAGTCAGCACAGACCATGGATTCTCATCCATTGGTTCAGCTTCAGCAGCCCAACCCATTAACATGCCGTTAGCTTTTTCCATTGAGGAGGGAGATCACAGATGAGATATGGGTTCTGTGTTCCCAGTTGGTAGCCATTACCAAATGAACACGGAAACAAAGCAGCCCAAAATAAAAGGGAAAAGTCCCACTTTTAGACGTAATTTTGCAAATAAAACAGGGTAGTTCTAGCAGTCCCCTATCATATAATGTTGCTGTAATTAACGAACGGACATTAAAACAGCTGTGGGGGGACACCAAACCAGTGTGTCGGAGAGAGAGAGGCGGGACTCCACTCGTACCATCCAAAGGCCCAAATTCCCTCTCTCTCGCGCCCAAGCCCCTCCTGCCCCGCTCTCTCTCATCGACGCTCGCACAGTGACGCACACTCCTCTGCCTCTTTATTCGACTCGGTTGCAGACACATACCCACATACCCTTGCAGACACATACCCATATCCTATTTCGTTTTCTCTTCTTTGGAGGGCTTTCTTTCGTTGCTGCTCCGGCGATACAGCTCTCACCAAAGAGCATCGGTATGTCTGAGTGCTCCCAGTCTCAGTTCACATCTCTCAAGTGTAAGTTTCTGAATCCCTAATGTTATTCAGTTAATCTAATCTCTTTCTCTCTAGTTTGTAGCTTTGTTTTAGTTTGTTTTTTTTTTGTTGCTTCTGTTGTTGAATTCGATTCTTACTTTTAGTGGGGTTGGGGGGGATCGTGTTATTCGCTAATCCCTAATCTTATACTTATTTATTTATTGTGCTTCTACTTTACTTTCTCTTTTGAGTTTAGATGGATTGGGTAGTTTTGGTGATGAGAGTGCTTATTTATTTATTTTGTTCAAGTTTTATGTTTCTGTAGAAGTTGTGATTAGGAAATGCTTGTGGGATTGGACGTTACAGTTCTGATTAAGGAAAGGTAGGTCATGGTTCGTCGTATTGGTTAGTATGATTAACTGGCCATTTCTAGGGTTTTTAGGTTCAGTTCTTTTGGGCATTTTCTTGTTTAAATGTCACAGACGCTCAGCTGCATTTCATGTTTCTGGGCGTGGATTCTCTACAGTAATGTTTCCATTATATGTTTCTTGAATTTCTTAGTCTGTTATTGAAGTGTTTTGCGTCTGTAACTCAGCATTTTCTCTGAACTATTAGGTTGCTATTTCTGTTTGCAAATTTAGTTTGAACTTCTGTTTTAGTCAAGCTTCAAGGAGTTAGCTGTAAGTTTTCATTTTTTTTTTTTTAATTTCATACACATGCTATATATGGTGAAAATCTGAAACGATCTTTGGTGATGGTTTCATTCAGGACACTAGGGTTGCCATTTTGGATTTGATGGCGTGGACGGAGATGGATGGTGGCAATGGGAGGGATGGAGATTCAGTTGGAGATAACGGTAGCTTGAAAGCACCACACACTTCTGCTGATTCTAGTGCTTCTCCAGTGTACATTTCACCTGTCCGAAAGAAGTTCGAAGCCAAGGATGATCTGTCCTATGCCAACATCTTACGTTCTAGGAATAAATTTGTGGATGCCCTTGCTATCTATGAGGCTATCCTGGCCCGGGATAGTGGGAATGTTGAGGCTCTAATAGGCAAGGGAATCTGTCTCCAGATGCAGAATATGGGTCGACTTGCTTTTGAGAGTTTTGCAGAAGCCATCAGACTGGACCCACAGAATGCATGTCCTCTCACGTACTGTGGCATTCTGTACAAAGATGAGGGTCGTCTGTTGGAGGCAGCTGAGGTATGTTATCTGCAATGTTGTTATTTATTACTGCATCATCATCATCAATTGTTGGGAAGATGGCTCTTTTTTCCTTTTCTTATTCATTCAGGAGATAAATATTGATTTTTTTTTTATATATGCTTGTAATATGGTTTCATTGTTTGTTGCTATTTTATATGCCATTTTTAATCTATTAGTTGGTCTCCAATTTTTGGCATTTTAGAGAGAATGATTTGCCATAAATAAATATTTCCAAACAACATTCTTTCATACCTCAACAATAATCATGGTCTCTTGCAAAACTGTTGAAGTCCACTATTTGACATGGATAGATTTGATGGTCTTCAGGTTTGATGCTTTTAGAGTCTTTTATCCCCTGTGAGAGTGCTCACAAGGGATGGACAAGAAATGGACTCATCACCCATTTAAGAAATTTGGGCAAAACGGGTCATCTAGATAGAAATAGAAGTGGAAACTTGAAAAGCAGCTACAAATGGAGTGACACACTACAGAGCAGTACATATAAAGGAAACAGATTAACAACTACAGCTGTTAGAAATTAAACCCCAGCCCTGGACAACCCCATTCTAACTCATGTCTAACCACCTCTGCCTGTGGTAATGAATCTACTAGGCCATTGACACAGCTAGGCACCCAGTTAAATGAACTATTCAAAGTGCAGCCATGGATTGTGCCTGTCAGCCTGAATTCCCAAGGCTGATGTAAAATTGATTTAAAAGATTTGGAAGCAAGACTTAGAAATGTAATGGGGATATAAAAACATAATGATGGACATAAAATAATCTAATTTGAAATTAAAGATCGAAGGTGGAAGAGAAACACCTTTCTAAGAGGATTCGTAAAATGATTGAAGTGTTGATATCGTAAAAATGTTTTTTTTTTTTTTTAAATTTTGAAAACAAATAGAAATGGGAAAATAAGATTTTAGGCCTTACATTGATAGGATGGATATATTAGAATCATCACAAAAAATCAATACCATAATTGGGAAAAATGAAAGATGGTGTACTAAATAAGTCATAGAAAGTGGAAACATCAAACATGGGATACTCTATAAAGTGTCACTCATGTGATTTTATTGGAGATGGAATTTGACAAATGCAAAGGGGTAGAGGAGGGGGTTTTGAAAATTCACATAGAAAATGGTGAAGCAAGAAGTAAAATAAGTAGGGATTAGGGAAACAATTTAAATGAATAAATAAAATTGGAGATTTGAGCCTCATTATGAGTAAGCTGAACCCATTATTATCAACCTAACTCAATCATGACCATTATTTTTAGTAATGAAGATGGAAAATTGGAAAGGTGGAGGGATTTTAGGAAAAAAATTGAAAGAAGTACACAGATGATGGAATTCTGTCCTTAGATCCCCTTGTGAATGTAGTAGTAAAGTATTTTGATTGGGGGGAGGGTAGAAACATTAGAATGCATCTGTCTTGGTGAGTTGAAGTGTTCCTGACAATCTGAGGATTTTCTTAATTGAAGGTGCTGTTGAGGAAGATGGTGGTAAGGGTGCTGGAAGGTTTTGCAGCCTAGACCAATGGATGTATGTGGAATTTTGTGCATAGGTTGGGGGTTGACTTGGGTAGGAGGTATAATAGTAATGGGCTTCTGTCAGAAACAAAGATAGAGAAGGGCCAACTTCATCAATCGTTTACCCTTTTAGAAATGACAAGGGTAATTGTATATTCAGATGAACTAAGTGTCAAAAAACTGGAGCTGTGTATTGTGTGGACTGTGAAGGGAAGCAGGAAACAGTGGATCATCTCTTGCTGTTCTGTAGTTTCACTTACGGGATTTGAAACAAAATTTCATGTTTATTTGAAGTACAAAGTTGCTGCCCAGGATCAACAGAGGAGTTTGTAAGAGGTCGGAGGGTGGACGGACTGAGTAAAAGAGGAAAGCTGATCTGGAATATAACCCCATGGTGGTATTTTGGTGTCTTTGGAAAGAAAGGAACGCACGGGTCTTCAAAAGCAAGATTAGTTCTGCTGATTCTATTTATCAGAAAATTTGAAAAAGATGATTTTATGGTTGGCTGCTCATAAGCTGTTAAGGTGTAGGTTTTGAGTATTTTTTTTGGTAGTTTGTACATGACAATCTTTTTGTAAAGCAGGGTGGGGGGTCAAGGTCAGAGGGGACAGCTTTTTTTGGTCCCTGAGTACATCATCTCACTGTACTTTTTTTGTTCATATTAATACAATTATACTTTACCTTCTCTCTCTCTCTCAAAAAAAAAAAAGAAAGTATTTTCTCAGTTGAAAGGTGGTTTATATGCGGTTGGACCCAGTAGCAAATTTAAAACTTAAAAGGGTCTACAAGAGGATGGAGGTCCTCCATTTAGGGGGAATAGGGGCCATTTGATAGTAGCAGATTAAGTGGTTGAACTGAATAATTTATAGCATTGCCTTTAAGTGAATAAAATTACTGAGGAGGTTCTGAGCTCCTTAATGGTCAAAACTGAAGTTGGGTTGATTACTGTACCCTCAAATATTTTATTATTTATTATTTACTTATTTTAATCACCAAAGATTGAAGCAATAAATCATTTAATTCAGTCACTTAAAAACTATTGTTACATGATCCTCAATCAGTAAAGGTTCAGGACACATGCTTAATGAAATGACTGTTATTTCTAAATTTTCTGTTCTAAATTTCAGTAATTGTGGTGGATCCATATTGCCAGTGAGTAAGAGGGATAATATTGTGGAAAGAGGTAGAGTAAGTTAGGGGTGAGCAGTATTTGGTTAAAACTGAACCAAAAATTTTGGTTTTGTTTTTTTTTTTTGGTTCAGTATTTTGGGTTTTGGTTAATTCAGTTTTTGAATATTTTGGGTGTAGCGACTCCATCACAAGTCACTACAACCTTGAAGCAACTCGAGGTTTATGACAAGGAGACCCTCATTTCCATTTTTTTTTTAATATCTTGGGTGTAGAAATGTTTAGTAAGCTCTTCTAGAGAGCAGATGAGAGAGGAATCTTCAAAGGTTTTAGGGTGGGGATGTGAGAGCAAGTGGTTTCTCATTTACAATTTGCTGATGACACTGGGTCTTCAGGATGTGAGAGCTCTAAGGAATATTCTTGAGATTGTGGAGAGAATTTCAGGATTGAAGATCAATTTGGCAAAGTGTAGTCTAGTGGGAATGCAGATAGAGTTAATGAATTAGAGGGGAGTGTGCAGAAATCTCGTGTTGCTGATAAAATCGCACTTCAATTATAAAAAAAAGTATTTAGGCTTTATTCCTATATGAAAATCTCAGGGAGGGGTCCTTTTGGGAAGTGATCATAGAAAGATTTGAGAAAAAATTGGCTACCTGGAAAAAGAATTATCTGTGGAAGGGTGGGAGGGTAGTGTTAATTAGATCAACAACTCTGTTCAACCTACCAATTTATTTCTTTCAGTCTTTAAAGCCCCACAGAAGAATGTGCCAAAAAATAGAGAAGATAATTAGGATTTCTCTATGGGATTTGGGGGGGGGGATAAAAAGGAGGATCTCATGAATTGGGATGATGTGTGTAAACCGAAGAGGGTTGGAATGTTGGGAATAGGGAGACTACAGGAGAAAAACAAGGCACTTTTGGGCAAATGGCTATGGAGGTTTCGCAAGGAAAGAGACACTGTGGCATTTGGTAATTAAGAGTATCCATGGGCTGCATCAAAATGGGTGGAACTTGGGTCCTGCTAGAAATATTTCTTTAAGAAGCCCATGAAGTAGTGAAAAATGATTTGAGGGTCCATACTTTAACAATAGTCGTGATACTGAATAGGGTGGAATGATGGAACAGGATTCATGTAGCAGACCCCATATAATTGGGACAAGGCTTGAATTGATTTTTATTTATGAGGGAAATATATGGAATCCATGTGAAATACTTTGGGAATCATAGGCCCTCCTAGGCGTGCTGGTTGAGTACTTGGGGCAAGTGGTCCTTTCCAAGAGCTCACTACACTTGTCAGTATACATATTCATAGTTTTTCTGGAAGATATTTTGTATCTTATTGTGGTTCTCCATTCCAAGCTACTCACCATAACTGTGCTATGAGTGATTTCCTATGTTTTCTGCCATAATGACTTATGATTTATGCTGTTTGGCAAATTTTATGCTTGTGAAATGTATTATGTTCCTTACAAAGCTTTCTTGCTACAGTCATATCAGAAAGCCTTGGTTGCTGATCCCTCATACAAGTTAGCTGCAGAATGCCTGGCAATTGTCTTAACAGACCTTGGAACCAGCTTAAAGCTTGCTGGAAACACTCAAGAGGGAATCAATAAATATACTGAAGCTCTTAAAATAGATCCAAACTATGCTGTAATCTCTGATCTTGTTATCCTTTTTCTTGATGCTATCACTTTTACTCTAGTAACCATTTTGTATACTTGATACTACTGGTTTTATTTCTAAATGATCAAGTCTTTATATGCAGCCTGCATACTATAACCTTGGAGTTGTCTATTCAGAGATGATGCAATATGATTTGGCTCTTAGTTGCTATGAGAAAGCTGCACAGCAGAGGCCCATGTATGCAGAAGCATATTGCAACATGGGTGTCATTTATAAAAACCGTGGGGACTTGGAGTCAGCTATTGCCTGCTATGAGAGGTAGTCCGCTAATTAGTTATGTCATTGTTGCTTTACAGACTTTGCATGTATGCTCATGTTTATTGTTGATTCTATATGTGCCCGGTGTCTCTGTTTTGTACCAGGTGTTTGGCTGTGTCTCCAAACTTTGAGATTGCAAAGAACAACATGGCCATAGCATTGACTGATTTAGGCACAAAGGTGGTTTCCTTTCTAGCTGGTTTCCAGCCTTTTCAAAATTAAATTTATTATCATGGTTAATTCCCAAAACTTTATTTTGTACAAGAAGTAGCTAGCTACCAAATCTCCGCTTATCATATGGACTTTCAGATTTAGAGCATTTGTTTTCGCATCAATGAATTGGATTGGTCAAAGTAGATGCTGGTTTTGTGGTGGGTGGGTGAATGAAGTTACATACGGTTTCACTTTCAACTTAATGGGTAGTTTGATAAGGATTTAAACTTTCAAATAAACCTATGCCAACAAACCTTGAATACTTACTTTTGTATATTTCATTCTATGTTTTGTAATACATGCATTTTAATAATACAATTGATTTATATTTGTAATATTAAAAGAAAATAAATAGAATAAACTGTTATACTGGAAGATTATGCAAATGGCATTGAAAATAACATCTGAAAGCAAGTAAAAGAATCATATTTTTCTCTAAATAAAGGTCGGAGAATTGTATCTCATAAGAAATGTGACATGGCATGTGATGGCTAAATTTAAAAAATGGTGTGCCTTTATTCATAAAAAAATGGTATGCCTTTTTTCTTTTCTTTTTTTTTTTTGATAGGAAAAAATGGTACACCCCTTCATGACTTGCACCTCTCTCTCAATTGCTACACTGCTGCAGTAGTCATATTACTGTTTGTATTCCTAATTATTATATTACTACTGTTTCTTGGACCTAGATTGGTATTACAAAAGCTTGATCTGAAAGATTGAAAGAAAAGCTTTTCCAGCACCTTTCCCTCTAACCACCGAAGTCCTAAATGTACATATGTTACTTCTCATCATTTATGTGTTAAGTTGGGTTAATTTGGGTTTGTAGAGAACACTGATGTGGGCCCCACAGCTACGGTCCCACTGTGTTTGTTGGGTAGAAGGTGTTCTAGTCTTTCTAGGGTTAGCTGGTGGTCAGTTAGTTATTTCAGTTGTTATTTATTTCAGTCTTATTTTGTTTTATTTGTTATGTAAATACTAAGGGCAGATCTGTCCTTTCCATGTAATGAGCATAACCTATAAATACTAAATAAAGTGGCGGCGGCGACAGAACATTAAGCTTCTGTTCCTCCTTTCAACTCATGTGTTATACTGCTCTCTCTTCTCTCTTTCTCCTCTCTTCTCTATACCTTTTCTTCTATTTTCGAACTTGAATTCCATTAGGGTTCAAGGCTGATAGCAGTCCTGAACGTCTACTTGGTATCAGAGCGAGGGTTTCTCATGTGAGTCTAGTCTAGCCGACCACATGAGAACCATCTAAGGCTGGAAGCTGAGAAAGTAGAGTTCATTGACTGATTCTTGGAGATCGCCAAAGGGTTTAGCAGCTGTTTGAAGATTTGCCACAGTTGTAGAGTGTTGGTGATCAGGAAAAATCAGAGAAGGCTAGGGTTCAGGTAACCTTGGAAGGCAGTGAACAACATTCTCTTCATATCAGGTTATTCTCCAAGCTATTTTCAGATTGTTTTTGGGGGGCTTCGAACTCTTCTAAGGGGTGAAAACTGTACGGACTGTTGTTGTTGTGTTTGCTAATTGGTTTCAGATCAGACTTATACCTGTTTCATGCACATCTATCGTGAATACAGATTGGTTCTATACTGATTTTGTGATTGTGGTTGATAGTCGAAGTGCTGTTTTTGACTGTAGTAACCATAATTTTGAGACTACTGGTTCTTGACCGAAATGGAGTTTAAGAATCAGGCAGAAGGCAGTTTTGGGAACAACAGTTATGGTGGTATTTCTGAGACAGGTTTTCAGATTACAACCGTAAGATTTGATGGATYAAACTATTTGGAATGGGCCCAATCAGTCATGATGGCTATTGGGGGAAGGGGTAAAGTAAGGCATCTCTTGGGAGATGTGAAAGAACCCTCCAAGGGAGACCCCATGTATACCAAGTGGGTCCAAGAAAACTACTTGGTTATGACATGGCTGTGTAATTCTATGCATCCACATATCAGCCGAAATTACTTGTGGGCAAATACAACCAAGGAGATATGGGATGTTATGAAAGAAACTTACTCCCAACCCCTTAATGTTCATATGAATTGAAATGTGAAGTGAATACCCTTAAACAAGGAGAGAAACCGGTTTTGGCCTACTTCTCTACCTTGAAGTCCTTGTGGCATGAGCTTGATCACTTAGAGACTCTTGAGTGGGAGAGTCCCAAAGATGCACAGACCCATAGAAAGCACATCGTGACAAACAGGGTGTTTGAGTTTCTGGCAGGCCTGAATTCAGAGTATGATATTGTGCGGCAACAGATTTTGACCAGAGATAGTGTGACCCTCTCTCAGGCATTCTCCTTAGTGCATAGTGAAGAGACCAGGAGGAAAGTCATGATGCAACCTCAGCCTCTTACACCRRCHCTTGTAGCTGTTAAACCCAAATCAGGGGGTGATTCAGAGAGGGACAGGAAGAAGGAAGATAAAAGGGATGTGGTATGTGAGCATTGTAAGAAACCTAAACACACAAAAGAAACATGTTGGAAGCTGGATCCTCATTTGGTCCTGGCAAAGTTGAGAAGCAAGAAGGGTAATGCTCATGTGACCGTGACTACTGATTCAACATCCTCGTCTGGAACAAGAGGCACACCCTTAGAGACCTTAGCTGCAGTTCGGGCTGCTCTAATACAGTTGGAAAAGGAAGTTGGCAACTCAGCTCAGTCACCGCAGTCACCATCAACCCTTGCCACATCTGCTTTCGCACATTTAGGTACTCGAGCCTCAGCCTACCATGCCTCAGC